TATGTATATATAATAGATATATACACACACATTATATATATACACATATATATTACCAAGGCCTTTACTTTTTTCCATATATAAGAAAATTAGAAAATTAGAAAAAAGTAGACCTTCTAAAAATAAATACCTTCTAACATCTCGGTAACTGGGACCAGGTTTTCCATTTCAACTGGAAACAGTTTCTCCTCTTAGACCACTCATTCAAACTCTGGTGTCCCTCCTGGTTTAGGGAAGATCACTTGGTACCAAAAGTTGGCTTTAAATCACATGTCTTGGTAAATAGTGATATGAAATGAATTTGAGTTTCGTTTTCTTGGAAACCACTACTTTTAAAAGGGCTCAGCCTTTGCTTTGAAGAATTTCGGGCACCCTCAGCACTTCCTGTGCACCTGAGAGGGAGGAATGAAGTGAGGTGACTCTGTTTGGAGGATGACAGAGTTAAGGAAAAGCAGAAGCCACAATTGATTTAAGTGATTTTCCAGAATTTCATCTGCAAAGTCACCATTCCTGGATGTGCGTGGAAGATGGATCTTCCGTGTGAATTTAGGCTGAGCTTGGAGGAGTATAAATCAAGGGCTTAAGGTTTTATATTCTCAAAGCACAGGATTTCTGCATGGGTGTGCAGTGAAGTTCATCCTTCCCAGTGAGCACCCTCATTCACCATTTGTCCTCTGGGCCCCACTTGTGTTTACAGTACATGTTTGTAAAACAGAGAGTGACCTCTAAGGCCAAGTCTAGTAAGAGGCAGCGCCACTGTGTATGTTACACAGTGTGAGGCAAAAGGAGGAGCAGGGTGTGCACAGAGATGCTGTATTCAAGCCTTGGCAGCACACCACGGCAGTAAAGCTAGTGGAGCCCGTCCCTAGGTTGCCTTTAAACCTGGCTGCATTCACACTTGTGTCTTTATTGTCTTGTGGCAGAATACATATATAACCAGGCATTCATCTGCTCTTTCCCAAGCCCATCTTTATCCTCCCCCCGCGCATGCCCAGCTGCTGCCCTGAAGCCTTGAAACTCATGCTTCTACCATCCAGAGCACCCATACTTCCCTGGACCCAGGCCTCTCCTTCCTCGACCCCAACCCCTTTCTGCTGGCATTATAGGGTAGAAGAGGAGATGTCATGTGTCTCCCATGAGCTACTCCCTGCTTCCTTTCTCCTGAGAGGCCACTGCGCTTTTCCTAACAGTACCTGCCCAAGCTGCTCTCATCTCACCTTGGAACACCACCATCTCCTTGCTTCACCCTTGTTCAACTCACACAAACCACTCAGTTACCGCCATTTTCTCAGAGGCCAACAAGGTCCAGGCCCAGGAGACTCATTAGGAGTGGCTGGGCCTCCGTACACCAGCCATGCAATGCAGGAGGTAGAGATCTTATCTGAGCAAGGTAGCCTGGGCTCAGTCCTGGCTCTGTTACTTCTTTGTTGTGTGACCTGCTCAAATTACCTGTGTGTCCAAGTTTCTGCATCTATAAAGTGGGAGGTGATAGTATTGTCTATCTTACTGGGTTGTTGTAAGGATTAAATGAATTCACGTTTGTATTGCTCCACTCCACAAATGCTGGTAGAGATTATCATACTCTGGCATGCCCTCCACTAGATGCTTTTAGATAAGAACAGAGAGAGAATTGTACTGTGTGAATCGCCAGAATGAAGGATGAACTGAAGTGTCTGTGTTCATTCTCTTCCTTTGACCTCCACAAGCAAAACCTGCCTCTCCCAAGGGCTGTTAAGAGGAAATTACAAGATAAAATCCTCAATTTCAAATCAATCTAAAATCTTGTGAAAAAGGTACACATTTCTCACTTAGAAAAGGGTATTAGTAACTGTAATTAAAAATTAACTTTGAAGAACTAAAAGTTGCGGAAGATACCACTGAAGAGATGGGTGCAGAGGCTCACATCTGAAATCCCAGCACTCTAGGAGGCTGAGGTAGGAGGATCACTTGAGCTCATGAATGTAAGACCAGCCTGGGCAACACAGGGAGACTTCATCTCAACAAAAAATTAAAAAAAAAAATTAGCCAGACATGGTGGCACA